AGGAATGCCTGGAAACACAGTTTAAGGTTGGGGTTTCAAATAGATCTCGACTGCAATGTAAAACTTAAGGGAGTTCTACTCCCTGCTTCTCATGCCATCCTCCTCCTCTCAGCGCTTGATTCCAAGAGGCACGTGGTAGCAAAAGCTCACCCTGTTTACTTTGAACTCAGTCAACAGGAGGCAACTCGTGGGTGCTCATGAGCGCGCGCTTGCAGAGCGCGCTCGCCCGAGAGCCCAACAGCCAGGCAGCGGCACTGACACGCTCCCTCTGCTCTCCGCATCAGGACAGGAGAAACAACCCCCATTTTCGGTCTCCAGAGGTATCAGAGGTGCCGTATCACCCAGGCATCTTTGCTGTGCTGTTTTTTGAGATTTCCTCCTCAACAGCCCATCAAAACTGACACAGCATAGCAGACAAGAAATGGGCTGGTACCATTAAAGTCGCTGGTCCACTTTATATAGAAATATATAGAAATATCAGTCATGACCCTGTTTGCTATTCATGAAATTGGGAGCCAAAGACATATGACGAAATGGGCTGCTGGAATTGTAGTTATGTTTTTATTTAATAGAGAACTTTTCTCAACCATTTTCACAACAGGCAGTGTTATTTCAAAGGAAAATATAAGAAACAAAGTCATGATCAAAACCACACATACAGAACAACTTAAATAAACATTTTTCCTTTTGAAGATGATTAAAGTATAGGATAAATAGAATATATTACATTATTCTGGACATTCTCCATGAACAATTCATATCTAATAGTTTCTCCATTAAGTATTCGGATAATCAATATGTATCAGGTAAACTATTCTGGCACTGACTGCGTCTTTAGAGGGTCAAGTTGGCTGGAAAAAATGAGATTTCACTGAAGAATAAACCTATAGAAATTAGGTTTCCTAATGTTTATTCATCCTTAATCCTCTGTTCCTTAGGAAATGCTTTCTCTCCTTTCTCTCTTAGACTTAACCTACAGCAAACTGGTTTTACCTGAGCAGGGCTGGAAGCTGTTGGTGCCACTGCTTAGTTTAGCTGCGGGACTGCGCAGCAGTGGAAAACAGGGATCACCCACAAAGCCAACATGAGCCAACTGAGGCTAAGCTCCTGAGAACCGCCCCCACAAAGTTGCTCTGTGCTGCTACAGAGGAATGTATTCGCTTCACTTGGCTAAATCTAGCATCTGTGAACATCCACACACTGCTTATGCAAGAAGGAGAGACTTTTGCCATAGTGAAGAAATACATCTAGGTCAACAACACAGAGGCTGTGGTGTCAATCATGTGATGAGGCTCATCACAAGTTCCTATAGGTCCTGTTTTAGCCCACTGGTTACTGCTTAGACTGACTTGGCACCTAGGGACCCCCCTGTACAGCACTGCATAGACCAGAAAAGCAAAATGTATCTTTGACTTAGAGATCTCACAGCCTACGGTAATGTAATAAATAAGTAGTCCTTCCCTGCAGCAGAGTAAAACTGCAGTAAGTGGAGATGTTTCCTCTCTTCATGCCACACCCCAGCACAACCCCAATGTCATAGAAGAATATAGCTATAACTCATAATATTTAACATTAACTACATAGGCAAAGAGAGCAAATTTTAGTTCACTGCATTAGACATTACCTTTTTGTTTAAGAAACTGAGTTGAAAAATCAGTTTCTTTCTGGTCTTTCTCATTAATACCACTTGTCTACAAAATTACAAGAAAACGCTTGTACACTCCACCTAAAATAACTGAGCAGCTTTGATGATAATCAGTTCCATCCTAACCTGAACCTTAATTCAGTCAACCTTTGTATCTGATTTTCTGAGAATGCCTTCTGTTTCTTGTTGCTGAAATATTGCCAACCCTAACTATTTCACATCACGTCTTATTTAGTGTCTAACCTAAAACCTCAGTTTCTGTAGGCAACTAGTTCAAAGAAAATTTTAATTTCCCTTTGCATTGTTTCTAGGTCTCATATTTGCAGAAAAAGGCTTGAAAACATGAATCATATCAGCTTAAAGAAAGCAAGTAAAAAACCCTCAAAGGCACTTTTTAACCAAATTCTCATGACTTCTGTGACAAGCTTATAATGTGTAGCAGAGACGCAGAACTCTCACTCATGAACTCTGAGTCCTTGAGGTTCAAAAAGAAGGATTCCTCTTCACCTTCTTTTTCCTTTTCTGCTTTTCTAGTCTTGTACTTTACATGAGGAACGAAGATGCCCAAATTTCTGGTAGAAATCATCTTCAGCATTAATTAGGGCTTCCTCATCGAAGTAGACAGCTGGTCTCCTGGAAGCCAAAAAGTACTGCACTTTCCGCAGGCTCCATCCCATCACGTACTTCAGCCAGCCACTGACAGCCGCTGTAGACCTGCCAATGCCAGCGTTGCAATGAACATAGACCGTATGCCCATTCTCCAGTAGCCCGTGCAAAAGGCAGACAGCTTGTGGCAACATCTGTATTCTTCCTAAGATTAAAAACAAGGCACGTTCATTTGCATTTGAGAAAGCGATCTTCACGGTTGAGATTATGTCTGTAACAGCCTGATGCACTGTGAATCACAATGGCAAACCTGACATATTTTGGTTTTTTCCTTTTTTTTTTTTTTTCCCAAATGACCCCCTACCCTAACCTTTGTTTCTTCTGGCAACATAGATTTGGATCAGACAAAATCTGTAAAATGCCCCAAGTCTTCTCCAAATATGCATTCTGATTAACCCTGAATGTGTGTGGCATATTCATTTTCACAGGGACTGAGATAAGGCAGTAACTTACATCAAACGGCACATCTTATATAGCATTAAAGCTAGAGAGCCAAAAGCACAATGTTTTTTAGTACCAGAGGTTTGCAAAGCTACCTACGTGCTGCTGCCTTCCAAAACATTGTAATGAAGGCCACTATGCCAATAACAAGCGAGGGAGGGAGAGCAGAAGAGTACAACGTAATACTGTTGTGATTTAATTGTGTACTAAGCAAATGGTTAAACACCACAGAACAGTCTTTCTCACTCCCAAAGGGATGACTACACCGTATTTCCTGACGCCTGTCTCCCTGTTACCCTGGGAACTACAGCTGCAAACATCAGAGCCTAACTTTTCCTCACAGCACAGATAAGCACTGACATTAAGTCCTTTCAAATCCCTGTTTTATGGTCTCCTGTCTTCCCTGATGTTCTATTACTGATATGACAGTTCTCGCTTTGTGGCAGGAGTATTTCACTCTACTGAAAGCACTCTCTTCTCCTGCTAGGCTACTCACTCAAAACCACACACACTTTCTAACCTCCTGGTTGGAAACCACATTTTAAACTGAGCATTAAAAATAGTAATTTATGTTATGACATGAGGTGCTATGGGTATTCTAAATTAATTACAAATGATTATATAAATTACTCCATGGAGATTTATCAGACTGGGATACTATAGCTAAAGAAAAATGGTTTCCTGGGGAAAGGGAATAGCAGAAACAGACATACAGCACTGTCTCTGCATTTTTAACCAGCAAGGATGGCAAGCTGTCCTGCTGTGCAAGCTTGCAGTCTTCCACCTACACAGCATATTTTCATTATATGGGCTGAATTCAAGCTGAAAGCAAAACCAGTCAAGCAGTTATCAATGTCATACGGCTTTAAACTCAAATACATATATACTGCCAGCCATGAAGTACTTTAGATGGCCTCTCTGTCTACAAGAAAATAGGAATAATTTGTTAGAGACAACACACACAGAAATTACACCTTGTGTGTTAGCTATATTTTTACGCAAAATTTACACGGAAAAAAATGCAGTCATGAAAGTGCTAGATCAGTAACTCAGCGGGTTTGTTACTATTAATTTAGCTGCAAGAGTGGTCTGAGCATTACCTTCAGTGCTCATGTCTGGGGTTGGCATCCAGATGTAGGCAAGACCTTCTTCTTTATACAGTTTCATGAGGATTTGGGGGCTCATAGGTTCCGGGTAGCGGTTGCAGCCCCAGGAATTCTGAACAATGTCCCATTCCGTCTGGAAGTTCATCACAGCTGTAACGCCCAGCTCATGCTTCAGCTTGACGGTCACATGCTCCAGCTGCCGAGGGCAACTTCCCAGCCAGATGTTTGGCAGAATTCTAGCATTGAGAAAACATTGCAGTGGGATCAATTAAAACATCTTAACAAAGAAACTGCCAAAGTCGGCAGCGTTCCAGCTCCAAACCTGCTTAGCATCATCACTCAAACGCTGCTAAGCGCGGCCTTTTCACACCGTGCGGTAAGCAGCTTCTTATTTCATGACAGTTGAGTCGGTAGTGTTTGATGCTGGGGATCAAGCTCCTAACCTACCACAAAAAGCCAGACGGTCTGAGAAGAAATTCAGAGCATCGTTAGTAGCACAGGTCTCCATGGCATCCCTCATTAAGCTCGCAGTGGAAACTTACTAACATCACAGATTAGAGTACGAGAACTCTGAAGATTCATGCAATTTGCACCAAAAAAAAGACCCAAAAGATTCACAGATCTGAATTACTTTAGTAATAAGCCGAACGCACAGAACTCTTCCAGCTTCATAACTACCACTATAATGAGGAAAGTAGACAGAAAAAAAAGACCCAACTTAAACTAGCCTTCTGTGAGGAAACACAAAAATGGATGAGTAATTTTCTTCTCATTTTTCTCTGCTCTTGTGGAGTCTAGAGGGAACCAAAAGCAGAATTACAATACATGTCTAACTTCCCTAAAGGCCCAAAGAACCAGAAATTTTGCAAGAAAACTCGAGAGACATGTGCAGGATGGATAAACATCTGTATTTCTGGTACTTATCTAAATCAAACTTCAAGACTTCTATGGTTTTCCCATTGTTAATTATCATAAAATGATTGAATTTCTCAACAGATTTTGACAGAAATATAAACTGAATATTAAGAGCTTTGTTTTCAAATAAATATTTTTAATCTGCACATGCAATTAAACTGATGGCATCTTCAATGGATTATTTACATGCACAAATCATTAGTGGCCTACTTCAATTTTTTTTGTTTGCATAAGCTTCTATTTTGAATGTGCAATCCACAGCCTAGACAATATATCCCTGCAGTTGAACATACATCTTTGCAAACTTTAACTGCAAAAAAGTGAAGCCAATATACAACAAAAGCAAGATCCTAAAAAATAAAATGTCTGCCATGCATTTCTTATGGGTTTTTTTCCAATTTTAATCTCAGAGACAAGTAAGAAAAGTTTTGTGTTTATTCAGGAGCAGTTACTCCTATAAAGAGCTCTTAAATCATCTGGTAGCTATCTCCATTCCACTATCACAGTAATAAGTGCTTACTACCATTTAATTAAGACCTGTAATTGACAGTGATTAAATCCTGCTATGTTACTACTGAAAGATTGTCAAAAAGAAAAATTCAAATCCAAGAAACACTTATTGTTTTTGTTTCCCCTGTTTCAGCTGCATCCACAGTGAGTCACATACCAGCTACACAAACACAGTCTTTGGCCTTAACAGCCCATTTCAGTGAGACAACGAGCCTGATCTCAGTATATGGCAATTGTGTTCGATTTAGACAAATATATTATATAGCAAATAACCATTTCACCTGTGTTTCAACAGTGAGCTCTTTTGAAGAGATTTGACTTAGTTGTTGTTTCACATCCATAGAATGCGGTGGAGAGTATTTCCCACCACTAATAGAAAATGTATTTGCTCCTAAGCAGCAAGAAAGCTTTAACCCCAAATTCCAGAAATTAAGATTTACACCTTGAAGTCGTTTCCTTTGCCATTTTTCTCACACTCCTGAACACTACCTTTCTAAAGGAGAGAAGACGAAAGGAAGGAAAGGAAGATACTCTAATACACAGGCTCTGGATTTCTTCACCTACAAATTAAATTCCGTTCATTTATTAAGAAATATGAAAACCCGGTGGGCTCCATGGCAACCTGAAGGAAAGCCAATAAAGCACAACAGCTGTGTATTACCATTATGCTCAAGGCACAATCCCACATGCTGGCAGAGGAAGGCAGCTTTACAAAACTGCCCCAAACCCAGCATCAGCAGCCAGAGCATTCCCAGTGCCCGGCGGGACCCGCAGAGCCCCACTGCAACAGCTGGGCTTCCCTGCCCCGCTTCCCACGCGCCAGCCCCACAGCTAACCCCATCCTAGCCGGGAGGAGTGACCGCTGTCAGGCCTCTGTCACAGGGATCCGCTGCAACCACGACAGCATTTCAAGGTGGCGAATATAAGTCGAAGTGCCCTCACAGATGTGGAGGAGCGGCTGGGATGGGCAATGCCTACAAAACTCCACAGCGGGGAAAGAAAAAGGGCAATATCACTAATATCTTGTGACAATATGAGGATATGCTTTCAAGAACATTAGTACCCTTCGTTCAAAGGCTTTCCTGGAGACTCATACATATGTAATTCTTTTGATATTTTGGGAAACATCTAATACAATAAGGCACCTTGACAGGAGAGCGTAAGTGTGTTTTCTAGCATTTGATTGAATCAGGAGTGACTAAAGCATTCCTGAGATAAATACAATTCAGGGTAGTACTCCTGCTTACAGATACATCAATGCTTTATGATTTTTTCCCCAATGATTAGTTAGTGGGCAAACATCACAGCTATGCTATCTGCAAGACCACTAGGATATACACCATGTATTTATTCTGTTTTTGTAGCCTAAAGGGTCTTGTCCATGACAAGACCTCCTGTACTTCACAATAACAGTTGCATTTGTAGAAGAATCTGCTGGGTTTACCAAGTTTTTATCACTGTCTTACCCTATAATTTACCAACCTAGTGGTGGCATTCAGAGAATAACCAAAACAATGTATTTAGGACAGCCAATTCTTGTGAATTATTTTTCTGATCAGATCCTAGAGTTTATCCTTTGAGAGGATAAAGATGCACCCTTGACCTTGGTCTTCAAGCCCCTTATTTACCCACCACCAAATGACTGTAAAGTCTTGGTCTTGCTGGACAAGGCTTAACCATTCTTTTACCAGGAAAACAGTCTATGCAGAAAACAGTACTGCAGAGCTGTCCTATCAGCCAATTTATGTAAAAATCGTGGGATAATCCTACTGCACAGTACCTATATTTCCATTTGGTTTTATCTGGTTCATACCTTGACTTTTTCTTACATCAGAAGGAAAGAATGAAAGGGTCAGTGCACATGCAAGTACAGAAGCTGATGAAGAGTTTAGCAGCTATATTTTATATAGAGATTTTTGATAGCTCTACTGAGGGCTTAATTATGCTGAGGACCAGGGTAATGTACATATTAAACAAAGCAAGAAAGTGGTAATTTCATTTTTACATCTCTTTCCTTAATAGTATGACTTTGAGTTTTCCTTTTCCTGTGCGGCCTTTTCTTCTTTAAGTTGCCACTGCGCTTCAGTAAGTAACTAGATTTTAGCCACAATTTTTGAAAGAGACCTCTTGTACTTTCCCCGCTCAACTGTCATGAATTAACACTCTGAGCTCTCTGACAGCAGCTGCTTTCCAGCTCATGTGGTGGTTTTCCAGCAGCAGATTAAGTGATCCCGACATACGGTTCAAAAAACATTTGGGGATTATGTGTGATCGATAAGCCTATAATCTTTTCAGCTGTTAACCCCTTTCATATTCCCCAAATGTCACAACAGGATGGTGTGTTAACAAACTTCTACTTAAGAGTTCTGTTTTAATATAACTGGCTCTTTGTCATTGTACACGTTAGCTCCCCATGCTTCTATGGATAACAAACCGTGCTTGCTCCCAGACAATGCAGTCAGAGATAGTTTATCAATGAAGAAATCACCTACAGAAACATAAAAAATATTCAGCTAACTTCTGAGATTAAGACTTGTCTCAAAGCCCTTTCTTTAAAGCTACTTTCTGTAAAGTCACTTTCAGCCTGCCCTACACCTCAGCTCTCCACTAATAATATGGAGATAGTACTCACCTACCTCAAGGGGACTTTTGAGGATTAAATGAATGAACGAATGTGAGAAGCTTGAATTTGTGGTAGTAAGGACTAAATGTTAGGCAGTTGTCAGCTCAATCTACTTGACTTACAGAGCCCAGACTAAAGAAGGCTGATGTGTTAAAAACCTGCCTTTTGACTTGTAAACTGAGAAAACCAACAAGAACTTATCATTATCAGGGAATAAATATGGAATACCCTGAAATCACCGGTACAGTTATTTTCCAGCTGTCATCACACTTAAATTATTTTTAATGTGCAGATATATATTGCACTTGGTTGTTTCCCCCCAGGACCCTGCACAGCCTAGATTGAATTACAACAATTCACTATGAATGCATCTGAAACAAGAAATACATTCCATTTAATCAATGCATATGTAAACAGTCTTCCCATCCTTAAGGAGTAAATGAGTCTGAGGCAGTGAAGGATTAGCATTCTGATACTTTTTTTTAATGGTGCAGATGATTGTAATTTTCCGGCTAGAGGAAATGTTCCCAAGGAGTGACGCACTGCATCTTTCAATCCTAGACCTCCACGGAGAGTACGAAATGAACCCAACAACTGTAGCTGTAGGGATCCGATTCACAGCGAGGGTGACCTGCCCTAGGGGAAGGTTTGGTGGAACACTGGCACAGGTTGCCCAGAGAGGTGGTAGATGCCCCATCCCTGGAAACGTTCCAGGTCAGGTTGGACGGGGCTCTGAGCAACCTGGTCTAGTTGAAGCTGTCCCTGCTCATTGCAGGGGGGTTGGACTAGATGGCCTTGAAAGGTGCCTTCCAACCCAAACTATCCTGTGATTCCATGATACCCGATTACTCCATCAGGCTGCCAACTCCTCCTCTGTGACACAGATGTCTATGCTGCTTCTTAAGCAGCTCCTGTGCTAATTTTGTTGATAATGTTTTAAGGCAAATGGGCACCAAACTCATACTTCCTTAACATGCTGAGCTGTAAACAGGGATGGTTCAAGTACTGTTTCCAGATCTGTTCAGTCATCAGTGTACTAGGAGCAGGCATCTTACAATCCCTCCTAAAATCAGTCAACCCTTCTAAGGAGTCACAGTTCTTAACAGAAAAGGGTAGGATTCAAGCCTTTGGGGAACATATTTCATCAGAACAACTATCAGATACAGTATCTCAGATGTCCTTTTAGCC